CGTCTCCTCGGCCGATCCACAATCGAGGTACAGCAGAAGTGGGGATCGAGCCGAAAACAGGAAAGGCGGATCCTTCCAAGTCCGAGCTCCCGCGCGGCGAAAGGGACTATGCTCGCTCTCTAACATCCGTCCCTGTGTTGCTTTGTGGGACGTCCTCTGTCTTATTGTGCTACGGATTTCTTGTGTAGCATTCGTCAAGACGCTACAATCCCGAGTAAAGACGGAAATTTCTTTGCAATCGAAGCAGTTTGGTTCCACCAACTTAGTTCAAGTGGCGAGAGTACAATATTTTCGGCAACGTCCGACAGACGTACTGTCTTGCTATCGTTGTGGAAGCACGTCTCACAAAGCTAATTTTACCGGTTGTCCCGCACACAGCCTCAAATGTAAAAACAGTGGTATAATTGGACACTATGCCGGCTGTTGCTGATCGCAGACTGTCGCGCTCATTAAAAAGGATAATGCACCGGAAAGCCATGTTACCGATCCAACTCAAGACAATATCTATTCAATCATCGCTGACTCCATACCTTCAGGTTGTGTAACCATATCCGTTGTTGAACCGAAGTTTCCCGCTGCTGACATTTGTACTGTATTTTTCCTTACTGTTAAAGATGCTGTTCCACTTGAAATGGAACTTGATTCTGCTTCTCCAGTCACTATCGTGCCTTTCCAATTTTATGAACGCTACCTATCACGGCATACTTTACATCCCACCTCACATTCATTCTGGAGTTATAGTGGGAACACACTAACCAAATTGGGATTTATTATCGTGCCTTTGCAGTTGCATTCTGTGATGGCCAATGTCGCAGTGTATATTTCTTCGGACAACAGACGACCGTTGCTTGGGAAGAATGTTATGGTGGCTTTGCACATTTTACCATAATTAGACCGCATGCTTATCTCTTCGGTCAACGTAGCACACTGGCAGGAATATTATCCGAAGCTCTTACAGAAGTCCATCGGCCGTATTGCATGTGGTGTGCATCGAATTCAGCTGAAATCGAATACGAAACCGGTCGCCATTGGTCAACCTCGACCCATTCCGCTAGCGAAACATGAAGCGGTCTCAGCAGCCCTGCAAGCGATGCTAGCAAATGATTTGATTGAACCCATCGACTGCTCTGAGTGGGTGCATCCAGTGATTTGTGTCATCGGAAAAGACGCTACTGTCCGGATATGCAACGATCTGCAGGCACTGAACAAACAGATCGTCGTAGAGCGCTTTATTTTGCCATCTAATGATGAACTCACTGTACGTTTAGCTGATGCAACTGTTTTTCCAAGTTAGATTTTAAAAGTGCATTTTTCCATATGCTATTGGCCGATGATTCCTAACTGCCTTCCTTGCTCCTGATGGCCTATTTCAGTACAAAGTCTTACCCATGGGTTTGAGTTCCGCGCCCGCCGCCTGGCAAAATTTCATGACTCACACCCTGGCAGGTATCAATGGGCAGGTTGCCTACATGGATGATATTTGTGTTTTCGGCCGCTCACAGAAAGAACATGATGAAAGGCTACACAAAGTCCTCCAGCATCTCAGTGATCTCAATTTGCGTCTGAACGCAGAAAAATGTCTCTTCAATGCACCAGAACTACAGCTTTTGGGACACGTCATTTCACGCAGTGGAATTCGACCAAGTGATGAAAATATCAGGGCCATCTCTGAAGCGCCAACACCCAAAAACTTGACAGAACTAAAGTCCTTTTTAGGAATGTGCTCTTATAAGCTGCGTTATCTGCCGGATTTTACGACTGTGGCAGATCCATTACGACAGTTAACAAAGGAAGGATCGTCGTTCGGTTGGGGCAGCAATCAGCAAAATGCCTTTGATGAATTGAAGAGGAGAGTTGCATCTGCTCCCTTAGTTACCGTTTTTGACGAATCTTGCCTCACCTTTGCGTCCATTGATGCGTCTGATGTCGGTCTCGGAGCTGTCCTCTCACAAATACAAAACGGAGAGGAGAAAGTTATTGCCTACGCATCACGAAAGCTATCAGATTCCGAACGTCATTATTCAGTTGGGGAAAAAGAAGCCCTTGCATGTGTGTGGGCCTGTAAAAGTGGCATTTATTTCTGTTTGGTCGTTGTTTTATTCTGCGTACTGATCATTCAGCCCTAATAGCTCTTCTCAGCAATGGATCTAAAGGATCTCGCCCAATGTTAATCGATCGCTGGTATGCCAGGCGTCTTAACTACGATTTTGAAATTGTGTACCGGCCAGGTTTGCAAAATCAGATTGCTGACGGCCTATCTCGCTTACCCGTGGGGCTGAAAGATGAAAAAGAGAGACTCAGAGAGGCGGTATTAGTTTGCAGTCTCGGAGCTAACCTGTCTACCTTGACGATCGAAAAGCTACGAAAGGAAAATGCTAACAATCCTTTACTGCATGAGATCATTGAATATGTGCAACAGGGCTGGTCCAAGAATAACAAAATCCCCGGTGACTTCATTACGTATTATGCAATCTGACATGAAGTATCAGTGGTAGATGGTTGTCTGATGCGCGGTTCGGTGTTTGTAGCTCCGTCCCAGTTGATAGCCAAGATAATAGCTTGCGCACATGAGGGACATCCAGGTATAGTTCGGACCGAAAATCGAGTGAGACTCTATTTCTGGTGGCCACGGATGGCATCTAGCATTGAGACATTTGTGGTCAATTGCAACGCTTGTCGCTTAGCGGACAAAAGTTCTTTGCCCGTTAAGGCCCCGACACAGCCAATTGCTTACCTGATGAAACCATGGACCAAAATCGCCATTGATATTATGGACCCTTTCGCTACTGCTCCTACGAATAAGCGAAATCTACTTGTTGCTACATGTTTTTACAGTAGATGGCCTGAAGTACACATGTGCGACCAAGTTACTACTTCGGTTGTGTTACGTTGGCTTAAACACTTGTTCAGTCGTTTCGGTCTACCGCATGAAGTACTAACGGATAACGGGCCACAATATTGTAGCCGCGAATTCGCAGATTTTCTACATTGCCATAACATTTAGCACTCCAGAACTGCGCACTACAATCCTGCAGCCAACGGCATGGTCGAGCGTTTAAACCGGTCTCTAAAAGAAGCTATACAAGCCATACGCATAGGAGGTTCGGACTAGGAGGATGCGGTTTTAACCGCGATATTTTCCTACAAAACATGTGACCACAGAGCCATCGGAAGAAAGCCAGCGGAGCTGATGCTAGGAAGGCCCTTACGCACAAAGTTAAATGCTGCTCGTAACCTTTTATCAGCGAGAGATGCCGAAGTTTCAAATCGCATAGCATCTTACCAAAATTCCTACGCTAAACCATCGATACCAATGCAGCCCGGTACATACGTTCGCAACAAAAGCAGGGTGACAAAGAAAGGCCCACCCTCGTTTTACGCTCCAGTGCGCGTCGACCGTACGCTTGGCCCGGGCACCTAGCGATTGGAGAACGGTCTAATTGTCAACGCGCGTCGACTCCACACAGCTCACGGACCAGCTAATCAGCCCGACCGATCCGCGCGCAAAGACCCGGCTGAGTTACCATTACCACGACGTCAGCTGCGTCGGTCCGCAAGAACGGTGAAACCTATTGATCGCTACGAACCAGGCTGAGGCGGCCTTTCGGAGGGGGGAACGATAATGTGGTAACCATGTGAACAAGATCGATTGGCTCAATCTTATTGGTTGGCTTGCTGACTAATTCCTACCTCATCATTGGTCGTGTGTCTGTCGTTTGACTCTCCGTTCAACAAGTGATTGAGATTCAGTTGTACTTGGTCAATGTTACAAGATACATTTTTTACCTGTTCATGCGGCTTTCTTGATACAACAGTTCCCACTATTCGTCGTCCCGAAACAACGGGTTGCATAAAAGCCGTCTACTTCGTATTTTTCAAAATCCAGAATACTTTAACTTTAGTCATCTCCATCGACTTTCCTGAGACGTTATTCTCCAGATATCAAGATCGGATCAAGTTGCACTGCGTTCATTCTAATGAACATACACTGCAATTTTTCATCTAGCACAAGTAACCTGAAGTCTTGTGTAGACTCCTTTGAGCACTCAGTTGTTTTGACAATCTACAAGTTGCAATCGGTAGATCCCCATGGGGGACATTTCCCGTAATAAATTGTCATAATTTTCCACACTTCATATTATACTTTATTGTGTCGCACCTGGTGACCGCGTACATTCTGACGTCGATAGTAACTACTGTCGTATTGATCAGATATATATTCGCTAGATAAATGAGATATAATGGACGGATGGCCTGGCTGTTGTCATTGGACACATGGGAGGCGGCTTTCTGGACCCAGTACAAATAAAAGTAAGAACATTAAGTCATGGGAAAGAGATGCAAATTCAGAGCTTCACCACTAGATACTGTGCACTTCCACACAAAGGTCGAGGCCAAAGGCAGAGAAAACCAAAGCGAATTGTCATCCTTCAAAGACATTTTGGTGACGGTTTACGACCGGTGGTGGGATAAATATCTCTTTCTCTGGATACAAAGACTCTATATTGCTTCACGGACAGATCTAGTGTAGATACGTTTGAGTTTTTTTCATTACAGAATTGATGCAAACCTTCAATTCATACAAGTAATCTGGCTACAAATAGGTAGCTGGACATGCAGGTAATGACAGCAGTTCCGTAGCCTGCACTTAAATGAACAGGGAAGTTTAATGGATAACACCACAAGTTACTTTGCTGTGAAACTTAGGTTCGAATCATCCTCTAGAACGTCCTACCCTTAATGTGCTATGCGGAAACAGGGCTTGGACAAACAACACATTCCACCTGCAGTTCAGATCGCATCGTTGTAGCGTTTCTGTTTAGAACGGCAAAACATTTCAGTCGATAAGGACGCGCTTCCATCAGAACTTGGAATACTCTAACACAGATAATGCGCTTAGTTAGGTTGAAAGCTAATGACCTGACAGCAAATGATCGCCCATATGATAGAGCTAAACAGATAACAGCTAAAGTACAAGAATATGGATTGAAAGAACTTACCACCCACTGTTTGTTGAAAAGACTGCATCCGATCTAAAACCTCACTCATCTGTTTCTGTAGTTCTTCTACTCTATAAGGTAGAGTGGACGGAAACAGAAACTTTTGATTAGGGTAGGGTTCGTTTCCTATAGTAAAATGTTAGCCGTGAGCAAAGAGACCTATACACACTTCCTTGGAGCTGATGGTCAGAAACGGTAGTTATCTGTGGATCGGAAGACAACAGTACGGATGGTATACTTGTAAAACTGCACTTCCAACCAACTAGGAAACCATCATCATAGTCAAAACACCTTCACAGTACCGGTTCTACGCATCACTACCAGCGGTGGCCAGGCCCTTGATGCACAAGGCAAATCTAGCGTGCTACCACTTCCATAATCTAGTTTTGATCGACTACCTCGATCGTAACTGAAGCATTAAAAGAGGCACTATCGGTATCACCGGTCGAGTTAATATCCTACGGTTTGATCATCGTGTATACTGTCAGGTTGCGGGAAGCGACCAATTGTTTGGGTGGTTCTCTGATGACGGTGTTACGCATTGGTTAACATGTAGGTTTTCGTAAACATATCTCTTACCTCGGAACCAATGGCTAAATATCCCAAAATCGGATTCTCTCCGACTCAGAAATATGCAGTCTACTCCATAAACACATGACTTAATGTTGTGTGCCAGGAGAGCGCTCGTACCCAGCTCTTGTGCACTACTACGAAAACAGGTTTAGGTACCCCACAAACAGGATCCGTGTAGGTGGATGGACATTTGTCAATGTGCTCTCACATTGATCTCACGTCTCGCAGAATCAGACACGCAGCCCACTGGCCACCCATTTATCCTGACACATGCAGTGCCTCACGGCACTGATAACCAGAAATGACAAGCGGGATTCGAGGTGGCGTTAAGTATTGTTATTCAATTATCCGTGTCATTCTCCAAATATACCTTGTTCGGTAGTTAACCTATGTCCCCTTCCTAACATGGTCATGGTGGTGGCAGTAGATTCAGGTACGCGTATGCATAAGTTCGCAACTGTAATCTTTCAGCGTGTCACACTTGATTCTTTAGGTTTGTATTTATGCGTCCTTTTGGCAGTCTCATCCTGACGCGACTGCGATTGCGCACCTCTTATTAACTACCTCTGATTGATGTCTAACTTGATGGCATCTTACTGATTTTAGCAACCGGGTTTGTTCACATTTCCCCATACAGGTTATACAGTTACTCTGATGTGAAGAATCCTGTTCCTGTTGTATCCTTGCGCTGGCTACTATATCACGGTGGAAACAGTCGTAAAATTAGAAAAATAATAGTAGATAGAACAAGGAAACAATATTTTGAACGGGTAAAAGCTAAAGCTTAACAGGTCCCATAGGATGGCTATGATTAAACTTCATAATAGAAAAAAATTGTTAGCAAAATGGGATTTGCATCGGTGAACTCACTGAGGTATACTTAGTAGAAAGTGCAAAACCAAGTTAAATCCATAAGGAATGACAACAAATGGGATGTTGCTGAACATGTGTCTCCTGGTGTGCACATACAGGAGGTAAAAAAGGTAGAACAAAATCTGGGATTTGGCCAACAGTGAAATGGCCCACCTACGCTTGTGTTTATCCATGGGTAATGTGTCATGTGACATGGTGCAGCGAAATGAGTACGCGGTCACCTCGAGCTTTGAACTCTGCCTGCGTGGGAGCACATATGACCGATTCCGGTAGGGCATTCCACATTCTGCAAACACGTAGGGAAAAGAAATTCCGTCGGCCTTCCAAACGACTGCGCTGCTCTACCAGCTTTAGTTGGTGGCCTCTCAAGTGACTGTTGTGACTAAACTCTGGCTAATGGCGGCACGTACTTGGGGTCTCTCAAAATCAGGTCAGTCAAAATACGGTCCGCATGCAATCACCGGTATGATATACTGAAGACCCCTAGCACTCGGAATCTTTGTCCAAACGGTTAATTATATAAACCTTTGACATTCGTAGTTGTTTAGCTTTGGGTCATCTCCAAAACGGTAAGATTTCTCCTCAGCCGTGGCTGCCAGACCTGTGTTGCGTATTCCACATGTGAACATATGTATGCACCAAAAAGCTGTTGAAAACCGAAGGGTCGAGTCATCGGAATGCACTCCTCAGGAGGTCCACGTGTTGGGTACCCCCTGTTGGGCCGTTTCAGCGTATTTCGAAAACCTAAGATCGGTCTGGACCAACACAACCAGATTCCGTTTGCCAGAAGACGTTTGAAGCTCTTGGTTGTCGAATTTGAACAATGAACAATGAATGAATATATCAAAGGACAAAAGCAAGTGCATGACACATCCCGTAGCATGGTTGGGGTGAATACGATGAGATCAAAAGGTACTTAAGCCATCTACCGAGTGTCTACCGAGATAAATGCGTTAATAAAAGCGTTAGCGTAAACTAAAAATCAAATATACAGCAATACGCGGATCCAGTGATCGTTGCTCTAAAGCGTGAGAAAAGCAAAATATGATACTTCATTTATGCGTAGCATCCTTGGGTCCATGTGGCACATAAATCCGGTAGGAGGGCATGATTAATGTAATGCACAATGGCGTAGTTTAGGAAACGAACTGTTGGGAGCTAATAGCAACATCGTATCCTTTTTGAAATATGTTCAATAAAGGGGAGGATACAAGTGAGTTTGGAAGAGAGTTCGAGGGTTGGCAAACTCGAAAGGAAAATTTACTCCGTTGACACACTAGACGGCTATACTGCTCACTCAGTTTCAAACAGTTACCTCTGAGCTCGGTGTTGTGGCTAATTTTCGGCAAATGGCGGTATACGTGGTTGAGATCACTCAATATTTAGCACACTAATATGAGATTGCCGTTCCGCCTTCCGTAGCGTCCGTTGAAAACTCCCAGTGGCCTCAGCATTTGACGTCCGACAGTTTGCGTAGGCCGTTAACATTATTTGTTGCTCTTCGTTGTGGTGCCTCCAAGGCCTTTAGGTCTCGCTCCAAACAAGGTTGCTACGCTTAGATAGCGTATTCAACGTGAGGGCACACGTAAGAATCGCGCATCACTAGAACGATTGATAGGTCAAATCGCCCGAATGTCCTTCACAGCAGACTGACATGTTAGTTTGCAAATTTTCGCAGTTACCTCAGCCTGTTTGTGGTCACCATGTAAGATCACACTAAGCTCACGCTCCTGGGATCTGGTCTGATACCCCTGTGCCCAAAGCAAATACGTGTAGTCATCTCTACCATTGGAAGCCATTGGAATCTAGAAGAAACCTCCCGGTTGGCTCTGAGCATAATGTGATCAGACAGGCCATTAGGCGCGAACTAAAGCGGAGCTTACGTGCTGACAAGTAAGCCTGGTGGACTAGAACGGCTCAAGAAATGGAGGAGGCCGGATCAGTAGGCAATCAACGTAAGCTCTTCCAGCTGGTCCGCACCACTGGTCTCAGGAAACCAGGCGTCAGTGAGACAATCAGAGACGGCGCGGATGTACTGATCCACAGTAACGAGCACCGTATGGATCGTTGGGTGGAACACTTTCAAGGTCAGTTCAGCTGGCCCCCCGCTCCCGGACCTCTTCCTACTCAGGTGATGCAGGACGGGCCAAGGACGGTTAGTTTAGCGCCTCTGTCGGAGGCCGAGATTCGAAACGCAACCACAGCCTTCAGTCGTTTTGGTGCCGCTGACCCGGATGCCCTCCCACATGCACTATTTAAGGATGGAGGTGAGGTCCTCTGCAAAGCACTGACCTCCCTATTCGAACGTATCTGGAATGAAGAGAGTGTCCAGGCTAATTGGGGCGAATCGATTATAGTGGCAATATACGAGAAGGGCAGTCGCACAGACTGCTCTAACCGCATGGGGTATTAGCCTAACTCCAGTTGTGACAAAATTACTGGCCTCGATTATCGTTCGTCGCCTCACTGCAGAACCGGCATCTAGGATTAGGGAAGAGCAGGCCGGTTTCCACCCAGGGCGTGGCTGTATAGGCCATATATTCACTTTGCGGTAGGTGGTAGAGCAGCGCCACGCATACCGCAGACCGACCATAGCTGTGTTCCTCGATTTAAGAGTGCGTTCGATTCAGTCGATCGATGCATTCTGTTCGAAATATTTGCGCGGAAAGGTATTCCCACGAAATATGTGAACATCCTTCGTGCTCTATACCCGAACCCTATAGGCCGCGTCAGGGTCTATGGTGGTCTGTCGGATAGCTTTCCGACCACAAGTGGCGTTCGTCAGGGTTTTTTGTTCAGTTTCGTCGTGGAACCTATCATGGAGTGTTCGCTTGCGGAATCTCACGATGTAGGCGTTGAGGTCCTTCCTGGTGAAAGGTTAGCTGATCTTGATTTTGTGGACGATATCGTCTTGCTTTTCGATGATGTTGCGACGGCACAATCAACCTTGAATAGGTTGCCTAGAGTGGTTCCATTATTTGGTGTACGCTTCGCATCTTCAAAGTGCAAAGTGTTGCTGCAATACCACCAGCCACTTTATGACTCTTTGATCCTTGCTAACGAGGAACTAGAGTTGGTTGATTAATTCACTTATCTTGGCGGTTGCACCAGCAACGAAGGGCACATGGAAACTGAAGTTAGCTTGCGTATTGCGAAGACTAGAGCTGCCTTCTTTAACCTGCGGCATCTTTGGCTACAGAAGGAAATTTCCTTTCGTCTGAAAGACCGTGTATATAAGGCCACAGTGAGGGCCGTTCTGCTGTATGGTAGTGAGACTTGGCTCCTTCGGTCTGAAGATCTGAGGCGCCTTCAAGTCTTTAATCATCGTTGTCTGCGAAGCACTGCTGGTGTCGGATGGCACCAGCGTGTCCGCAACTACGATGTGCGTAGGTGAGTACTAGGTAGTGATAATCATGCCAGCTCCCTTGAACAACAGATGGCACTGAATAAATTGCGTTGGCTCGGGCACATGCTACGTATGCCTGGTCACCGCTTACCTAAGTGGGCGTTGTTCAGTCTGCCAGATGTAGGGTGGCGCAAGGCTCGAGGTGGACAGAAGTTGACTTGGCAGGGGAAATGAAGTTATTGACGGCCAAACTGGGTGCCGTTGGTCCGTCTCGTCTTTCGGGCTGGAGTCCACTTGACTAGCCTTGTGCTTGGCTCAAGACTTTACAGGACCTGGCTCGCAACCGACACCATTGGGGCGTCTGCTGCCGTCTCCAAATCGGATTGTCTGTTTAAAGTGTGTTTGGTGCTGTGTTATCTGCGGGGTACTGGCTGATTATGATGCGGGGCAATGACAGTCGCAAGAAAGCTTGCTGATGCCGTCTTCGCACGATAGCCAGCTGTTTGTGACAGTACGTTGTCTACACCAGGTGTAGGCGCCTTGACCCTGAATGTTTGATTAGGGCATTAAGGTTTTCAGGTAAGTCCCCCTTCTCTCCCTCTATTTATCCTTTATTTCATATGTCATCATGGTTATATGGCAGCGAAGCATCAGTTTACATGGCTGATCTACTGCTGTTGTTCGTTGAGTATGCTGATTACAAGGGAGTAGTAGGCAGCTATGGATGGTGCAATTATAAATCACATCTAGACTCAAAAGGAATGCGAACTGCTGACAATTCCCACAAGGATGAAACGGCCGTACAGCGTGTTCTGAGCATGTGATGGCTGTTTGGCTGTGTCTACATGCAATGTATTTCTACTTGCGCTGATTACGAAGACTAATTGTTTCACGTCGTACGCTATCTACCGACCATTGGTTAGCTCACGATTAATAGCGAAATTATGCGGGCTCAAGAGAGACGAAGGTGATCACTTACCTTGATTTTATTTGGGAAATTCCGCCAGTTACAGTTCTATTTCGTTCCATTTCTTGTCGAGTCAAAAGGTTTTTCATACAATGCGTCTCGAACAACCGAGCCATTCGCAATTCAGCATCAATTTTTTGCTGTTCCAGGAGTCCCGCCATTTCTGACTTGGTATTTTGCTGTCCACTTTCGCAAAATCCTATCTTCCATTCCGCGTCACGGGTTTCTTCAAGTCGAGTTGTTTTGCTCTTCGTGAAAGCAAACAGTTCTGCTCCATTGTCTCTCCACCTTCGATCGCACGTACTTCTGGCAGCTTCACTTCTAGAACTGTCTGTCCTTAGATGTTCTTCCTGATTCCCTAGGGGGTGAAGACGGTTTGAATTATCTACCTCGAGATTTGAAAAAATGTGGCGTCTAATGTATTTCTACAAAAATTATATGTAGAGCAGGCATTTACACTTTATTGGGATAAAACTTAATAAGCAGTTTCATGACCAGGATTCCAAACTGAGAATATTTCAGGTTCTCGTAAGCCAAATTTTTGCACTTTTTAACAGCGATCTGACCACATGCCTGTTTTGACTCATTCGTTTCTCAATATTAACAATCCTCAAACATTTCTTCCTCTTACTTTATCTCAGCGCTTCGATCGACGGCATTACTCATCGATTAACTTTGACAATTGTTCACGGTGACCATTGTTGTGCTGTTCCTCGTCACTTCAGCGTTCACCTCACTCAAAGGTAAAAGGAACCAGAAGTATATGGACCAGGATACACAAAGTCAGGATTAGAGTCGACGGGGTTTGGCCAACTGCAAGCTGACTTTGGCAACTGAATTAACCTAATCTTGGTGATCGAGACTGCTGCTATTTCGATCTCTTACTAGGTGAAGACCTATTTGCTCTATTTCCCATTCAGTACCTTAGCAACGTGCAACAGTTCGTAGATTGCTAAGTTTGCATTAGTTTGTTGATTAAATTACTGTGCACTTTGGTAACCTATACGGTACGCTGAACTGTATGTCGGATATGTTTGCCAGAACCATAATCACACACATGGCATAACAGTAAGATGTGTCACGAAGCTGCAACTCTCCGTATTCTAGCATCCTTCCCTAGATGTCAACGCCTCGTACTGATGCCGCTTTTTCGGCTACTAATCAGGACCATTGCCCAGTCTATCAATAAACCTCAGTCCCATCACGTCTGCGCCTTCGCTCCAACTTTTGTTAACCGTAATCGACGGGGGTCGGACAGACGGAACAAGTTTATTAGTGAAACTCAGCCCATCTACTAGATACTGTGTTCAAGCTCAATTTTTACAACAGTAAACGTTTTGTAGTAAATTTGCACTGGAATGCAGAAATGGAATTCCTTTCTTGTGAGTGAGCATAGGATTGATAGCTGGGGCACACTGTTCAGAAAAACACTTATCCGTTGTTCAACAAAATAGTAGAATTAGCTAACCACTGATATAATCTAGCATTGCCAGTCTAGAATCTCAGTGAGAGATCCCTCGTCTAGCTATCCAACTGGGAACTGCTGGTTGGAGAGCATTGTCTTCTTGTTGTTTTTATCATTAATATTTTATTTCTATCCACGTGGCCACGCAGCGGAGACGGCTAGTGAGCATCGTTTGCTTAAAGCTGATGTGAGTCGTACGTAGTTATTTGGTAATTTCATACATATTGATCCAACAAATTCTATCATGAATCAGCGAAGTTTTCAAAGATGGAAGAACATTATCTTTTTACTGATCCGGTCCCGTTTGAAAGTGAGTTTGAACTGTTAATAGACTATTCGGCACGTTTTTAATTACAGTGCTAGTCCTTGTTTAAAGTCAATTTTTTACACACTCAGACCAATGGAAAACGTCATTTATTATGCCTTGGCACAAAGCAGGTCCCAAACAAACGATTGATAACAACCGACCAACGCACTACATTCCGATAATCGTTCGGCTCAGGTAGTCACTTTAGGTGATTATCGCTCTTCCCCACGCTCATTCACCAGTGGAGTGATTGGAGGATCAATTTCGGACTACACGTTGTGTGATTGGATTGCGACGCGCAATCTCAATGTAATGGACTGTGATTCACATTGAAGTGAACCTTAGTCACTGAGATCACTGGGACCGTAGTCAAAGCAGATGGAATTGGGTGCTGCCCGCCCGAAAACACTGCACAACCACGACGCGTTTCAATCTCATTTCCTCACATCAAATGGAGATAACAGGCCTCGAATCCGGGACCATTGGAATAGTAGCCGAAAACTCTACCCCTTGGGCTACTGCGTCATGGCGGGCAATGCTTGGCACAGCCGTGTAGGACTGTTTGGGTTCCTTCTTGAGGCCTGCTATCTTCACCTGGTGAGATGAAATGAGATTGAAAGGCGTCGTGGTTGTGCAGTGTTTTCGGGCCGGCAGCACCCAATTCCTTCTGCTTTGACTACGGTCCCAGTGACCACAGTGACCAAGGTTCACTTCAATGTGAACCGCGGTCCACTTTGAGATTGCACGTCGCAATCCAATCACACAACGTGTAGTCCGAAATGGACCCTCCAATTAGTCATTTACCGTTGTGCCAAGCGTTGCCCATCGTGACCCGGTAGCCAAAGGGGTAGAGGTTTCGGTTACTATACCAATGGTCGCGGGATCGAGGCCTTCTATCTCCACCTGATGAAATGAAATGAAATCGAAACGCGTCATGGTTGTGCAGTGTTTTTGGGTGGGCAACACCCAATTTCCACCCGTGGCGTGATTCAAGGGAGCGCGCTCGGTCCCTTACTCTTTTTGTTCTACATCAATGACATCGCCACATCTGTAAAACGTGGTACATCATTTTTATTTGCTGACACTATCAAAATAGTCTATAAGCTTCAGCGTGAAGTGCTTCATGGGACTTTACTACTCATTCAAGATGATTTACATTCCCTTGAGTCATGGTGCTGCACATGGGAGATGAACCTCTCGGCTAAGAAATCAAGCATCTTATCTTACGGTTGTTGCATCCCCGGAGGATCCATCATCCTAAACAATGTACGCGTCCCTACACAGTTGTCCACACGAGATCTTGGAATTAGGTACTCGTCTACCTTCAATTTCTCCGAACAGGCCCAATACTAAGTAGCACGTGCCAGACAGTCTATGTTCAATATATCAGACAAAAACACAAAACTAGTGCCAGAGTTGAGCTTTTAAAGCTACTCACCGGCTTCATCCTTGAATACTGCAGCATAATATACGGAAATCTGAGAAAGATTGACAGAGTTGCTGTGAAGTACCTGCAGAGATCATTTAATAAACAGCTGGTTAGTAAACACTGCTATGAGTTATCGAGGATGTTGCAATGAACTTCATCTCGAACCACTTTGGATTCGACGATTGAAGCATACTTTGTTGCTGCTTTTCAACATGTTTCACAAAAAGATCTATTCCAACTAGTTTACACTCAATTTGCAACATTGCTCAACTCGAGCGCTTCGCAACAAAAATTTTATATTGAATATACCGAAGGCTAGAACGAATGTCCGCTCTAATTTCTTCCTGGTCAGATACAGCTATCTGTAGAATAAACTACCCATAACAAGCTGGTCATATGATAATGTGGCAACAGTTAGTAGCAGACTCGCCAGTTATCTTGATCTAACTACCCTAAGCTCCATATTCACGTGGGAAAATTACCTGCATGAGCTATTCCAAGAGGGGCCCCAAAACATCTAAACACCAATGTTTTCATAACTAGGCTTTGACCTCAACCATCCGCCAGAATGTTAATACATGAAACGCATATCTTAACACTCCACCTATGCATGTCACCCATGCAAGAGCATGAATTCTTCTGTACCAAATGATCTGCGCCGCTATAGACACAGTTTCTCTCATCAAGAGAAGTAGATGTATTATTATTATTATTATTATTATTATTAAAAATAAGCTTACGGTTTTCCTCGGTGAATGCCCTGCAGATAGCGTCGCATACTACTAAGCACAACTTAACGTATATTTACGGGTTTTGCATCTGTGATCCTTCCTGCTTAATCTTAGGAACTTCTTGTGCGTCTCACAAGGGTCATTAAGACCATCTTAAATAACATGTCTTCAGAAGCGTTCTCATAAACGCGATCCCAATACGTTTCTGAAGATCTTCATCTGTACCCTACACTTCAAAAAGGGGGTAGGTGCCGCTATCAAGCAAACTGTAGATGTCGCGCCCAGTGCTCGGGATATTTTGTACATACTGTCCCCCATGATGCAACAGGAATGTTTTTAAAAAAGTCGTAAGCTGATCTGATATATTCAATTTCTATGTAATCACTGCAGTGCTTTGCTCTATTCCACCTCGCCTTTTTGGAAAACAACGTGATGCGGTGACGCAAAAAATGCAGAACTTGGTAAGTGACGGAGGTTACTGTCTGTGTAGTGTCGCTGGCTTGATAACAAATAGAAGAGATTCCATTGTTCAGACTAATTAGTACTAATGCTTCCACGGCATATTCAGGCCTATCCCTAATGATAAGTTGTGATGCCATCAGATTGCTTGCGTATAACAATGATTTGGGGTGTCTTCAAAATTGATTTATTGACCCTGAATGTCAGTTCTGAGATATCAGCTGCAATGCAAATGTGAGGACGACAACTGATCCACTTCGTGTAGGTCAGTGGTTTGCAACCTGGGGGTAATTACCTCTAATGGGTTAAAATGGAATTTTAAGGGGGGAGGTAAATATAGGTACGAGAATTGTTGCCAAACAGACTTAACAAAGAACTCATATATATTAAAGTATGCAACCCTACCTACTCACTATTGAATAACCGTCAGTGACTAATCATTAGTGAGTGATCAGTGAATTCGACAATTTTCGTTAATGAAATACGAATACAGACATGAAAAGCAACGCAGCTAGATGACACCTATGTCGGCTTGCGCGTCCATGAACTTAGAGCACGAGTAACCATGTGGCTTAGCCAAAATTGCACCAAATATGGCTGGCTGGCCGAAGAAGCTCCACATGATGCCAGCTAGGTGGTCCCGGTTAATACTGTTTCAGCGAATGGCTCTGCGGCAGTGTTCCAATATGTGGTGGGTTTTTGCTTGGCAAATGTCTGCTTAACAGTATTGTGATGTGGCGCATATGAATTTCCACTAAATAAAGTCACTGCCTCCTGAGTTCCGGGGGATTTGAATCCGTTCAAGAACGTCAGCCACTTCAAAGATTTTATTAGATGCCTTCGTATGTTGGCGAATTCACCAAACACAACCACAGCTTCAGCATAAACTTAAGAAATCCAGTCAACATGATCACTTACTCATACATATGGTTGGCGGCATCCTGTTCCGGATTCGCCTGTCACTGTG